ATCCCTTCAAGTGATGTACATATGGATATATATATCGATCCACACACGAGGGAGCACGTGTTTCCACACACTGCACGTGACGTGCGTGTGTGTTCGTCGTATTGCTGTTAAAGATGCTCCCCATCTTTATGCTCCATAAGAATCGATATTGATTGACGAATCTGTGCATCGTTTCAACCCTTTTGAAAAGGCCTCTATGGCCAGAGCCAAACTACAGTGATCTGGCTCGATATGAAGTGCCGCTTGTCCCGAGGTTTGGCATGCGATATTATACAAAGTAAACACAGATGCCTCACGGGCCGAATGTCACGATCAACACGTCTGTAATGACTCAGTCGAGTGACTCAGGGAGCTCGCGAGGTAAATACCAGAACGCCAAAGCCAGCTGTGATTAAACCACGTGCTCATTTAAACAAACGCACTTTTTTAAATTCTGATAGCCAAATTGAGACCACATTTTGAACGACTTTTTGTTTATTTTCTTTCGGTAAAGTCATGTAGGTAAAAAACGAAATAAAATTAAAATGAAAACTACTAAATTAAAACAAATCACTGTGATTTTTTTTTATTTAGTGGTTTTCATTTTAATTAAAAGATTTAGTTGTTTTCACTTTATTTAAAATGAAAAATAAATAAAAACAAATCACAGCAATCTGTTTTAATTTAGTTTTCATTTTATTTTGTTTTTTACCTACGTGACTTTACCAAAAAAACCAAAGAGTATATGGATCCTTGCAGTCACGAAAACTTCAAATCTACGACTCTTTGTTTCATCTTCTTGGTTCTTTCGGTAAAGTCACGTAGAAAGGAAGTAATAAAATAATAAAAATAAAACATAATAAAACAATTCTCACGACGTTTCGGCCACAACGCAAGCAGCCGTCCTCAGGTGAAAACCAGGTCCGTCGAGGCGACAGAGTCTGAATGAGACTCTGACGGCTGCTTGCGTTGTGGCCGAAACGTCGTGAGAATTGTTTTATTATGTTTTAGTTTTATTATTTTATTACTTCCCTTCTACGTGACTTTACCGAAAGAACCAAGAAGATGAATCCCTGCAGTCACGAAAGCTTTAAATCGAGACTCTTTGTTTGTTTGGTGTTGCTGTGTGCGCTCTCAATGGTGACCGTTGCTCGTCAAGTTTCAAGTTTGTTTTTGTTTAGCCCAGGCGGTGATGAACCCACTCGAACAGCTTCGAGTCTCATTCGCAAGAGTGACCTTGGTCACGTAAACATTGGCACTCATTGACATCGTGAGAATTGTATTTTATAATGTTTTATTTTTATAATTTTATTATTTCCCTTCTACGTGACTTTACCGAAAGAACCAAGAAGGTTGCATTTATGATGCCCGCGTGATGAAACAAAACACGCGCCTTCAAATGCGCTTCTGTGGCCGTCTGGAACGCTCTTCCTTTCCGATATTAGGAAGCCACTGGGCGCCACGCACTTTTAAACCCTCGAGATTCACAAACTCGTTTCTTTATAACTACTTTTTTTCTGTTAAGTTTGTTGTCCTTCCCCCAGCACCGCCGATGAGCACAGTTTGGCTACGTACGGCGTGAAAGAAGTTCAACATACCGCACATACCATGCGAGGTGGAGCATTGATGCACGCAGCGCTATCAACCTGACCACACGAGTTTTGATTCCTGGCCACGGCTAAAATCAGTGGTGAGTGGTAAACGCTCCTGATCTCTCCCCCCCCACCGCCACACTGCACCACCCGACCTTGATAATCGTGGTGAAGTATGGTATTTTATGTATATATGTATAAACAAAAACACTACAATGGCCAACATGGCATGGGGGAGGCATTCATCATCCATTGGTGGATTGAAAATGGCTTCAAGTTCAAGTTCATTTATTAGGTATAGCCCTGTGAGCCATTCGGCTCTTGAATCGGGTGCAACCGCAACAAACAAAAACATGAACAAGAAAACATCTTAAAGTGACTATGCGACTATGTGTATTTAGATATTTACCCTTCAACATGGCACTTCTCGTGTGTATAAGGATGATTTCAATTATACTCATTATTAATAAAATACCGAATGTATTTCTGAACAACAACAAAAAACGCCGCTGCACTTTTGAGACAGCCGTGGCTTCATCGGTGGGAGGTGGTGGGGGGGAGGCTTAAATCCACGATTGCAAACCAGGATACCCAGAGGTTCCGACTCAGAGTTCTGAGCCCTGAGCCCCCTCGCCTTCATCTAAGTTGTCTTGTGGTTACATTTCGATTTAAAGCTTTCGTGACTGCAGGGATTAATCTTCTTGGTTCCTTCGGTAAAGTCACGTAGAAGGGAAGTAATAAAACAATATAAATAAAACATAATAAAATAATTCTCACGACGTTTCGGCCACAACGCAAGCAGACGTCCTCAGGTGAAGAACAGGTCTGCCATTCAGACATTGTCTTTCTGACATACCTGTTCTTCACCTGAGGAAGGATGCTTGCGTTGTGGCCGAAACGTCGTGAGAATTATTTTATTATGTTTTATTTTGATTCTTTTATTATTTCCCTTCTACGTGACTTTACCGAAAGAACCAAGATGATGTCTTGTGGCTGTTGTTGTTTGACTTGCATCTCACTGGGATTTTTGCACACAGCGTTGGTGTACGGTGCTTTGTCTGCAATATTTTGCTGTCTTCTCTTGGATTTTCTGTTTGCACTTAGTCACATAGTCACTTTAAGATGTTTTCTTGTTCATGATTTTGTTTTTTGTTGCGGTTGCACCCGATTCAAGAGCCGAATGACTCACAGGGCTATACCAAATGAATGAACTTGAACCCAGCCACCGTTTAAAATCCGCCTGCATGCTCAGCGATGCAGCGTCGGGTTTATTTGGAGATGGCGAATGTCTGGGATTTTAAAAAACCCAGCTCCCAAAAGAAGTGTTATCACCATCGGAGCCCCCTCTCGCCGAGAGCCACCTTGCATTTGAGTTAAATGTGTTTCGGGAATAAAGCGTCGCCACCGGAGTAAGCCTCCTTCGAAACTCTTCATGGGGCTACGTTGTAACCGGTGTCCCTGTATTAAAGTATCAAATAATCACAGGAGCGTCAAACGAAAGTGCATTGGGTTACGCCTGTTCGCGCAAATACAACTATACACAAGACAGTTAGGGGGTTTGTATATTTGTATTTGCTTTGTTTGCGCGGAGGAGCGGTAGAGCGAAAAATGGTTTACTCAGCTACATCATGGGTCCTCCTTTTCCAGTACCAAAATATGCGAATAGGTTTTCCCATTTTTTTCTGGCAACAAAACAGGCGTTAAGATGTTAAAACACCAAACTGAAACCTTTTACAAGGAATCATGTCTGCATTAACCTCGATGCTTTATTTTATTTCTACCTACGTGACTTTACCGAAAGAGCTAAAGAGTATGGATTCCTGCAGTCACGAAAGCTTCAAATCAAGGTAGTTGATGATTTCGATGTAAAGCTTTCGTGACTGCAGGGATTCATCTTCTTGGTTCTTTCGGTAAAGTCACGTAGAATGGAAATAATAAAATAATACAAATAAAACAATAAAATAATTCTCACGACGTTTCGGCCACAACGCAAGCAGCCGTCCTCAGGTGAAGAACAGGTCGGGAAGACAGTCTGAATGTTCTCGACAGACCTGTTCGCCACCTGAGGACGGCTGCTTGCGTTGTGGCTGAAACGTCGTGAGAATTATTTTATTGTTTTATTTTTATTATTTTATTATTTACATTCTACGTGACTTTACCGAAAGAACCAAGAAGAGGTAGTTGATGATGTTAAGCCACTTCGACGAACCATCATCGTGTGGAGCTAGATCGCCTCTGAATAACGAGCTCATAGCTCAGTGGGCTTTACCTGGTCAATAAAATGAGTGTTCATACACGTGGCAGGAACGCGTCGCGCCCGGAGGGAATTTCACGCGTGCGAGGGGGCAACACGCTATTCCTATACGGACTCAAAAGGTGGGGTCGGCATTTCTGCTGCACCGCCGTCTCCTGGCGAACCAGGGGTACGACGCCTCCTGAACGCCCACGGGAATGGAGTTTCCTACCATCTGTGTGTGATACACCAACCATCGGTGCCGGTGCAACCCCCACAGTGCTGGACCACAGTCCGGTTAAATATCCATTTTATATTACGGTATTGTTTATGTGTGTTTTTAAAAATAACATATATTTATCAAAACTGGTAATGCTTCAATGTCTGGTTTTAAATCATGGGTGGTGCCAGCCAAGTCAAATATATAATAGGCGACGTTTCGGGCAATGGCTCTTCTTCACATCACATAGAAGCAGAGGATACAAAGTGGATAATTGTAATAAGAGTTAATAATGACCTAGGGGAGGGCCCGGGACCGGTTCAGATAATCGTCACTGGTGTTGGCCGTGAGCGGGAATCGAACCTGTGTCGCCGGGTTCATAGCGCAGCGCGCTAACCGCTACACCACCGCTCCCCCCCAAACACACTGACACACACACTGACACACACACTAACAAAGATCCCCCGTGTAGCCTTAACAGACTGTAGGGGCAAGTGCTGTTAGCGAGCACCTATGAAGGCCCGTATGGTACACGAGGGGATGGGTGGCCAGCACCACGCCCGACCGCCTTTTTCTCCCTAGTGGCAATGATTACAGACCACACCAGGTACTCATTTGAGGCCGAGTTGACCTAGGGGAGGCCCGGGACCGGTTCAGATAATCGTCACTGGCGGTGTTGGCCGTGAGCGGGAATCGAACCCAGGTCGCCAGGTTCATAGTGCAGCGCGCTAACCGCTACACCACCACTCCCCCCCCCCCAAACACACAGACACAAAGCTAAAGACAAAGCTTCCCCATATAGCCTTAACAGACTGTTGGGGCAAGTGCTGTTAGCGAGCACACACACACAGACAGACAGACAGACACACTGACACAGACACTGACACAGACACAATCGACTCAGCTGACGCGCAAGAGTGCACGAACGAGGGAACGCCGCAAGCCGCGTGCACGCGCGTTGCCTCGCCTCGCTCACCAGCGTGAAGGGCGTGTTGAGGGTGGTGATCATGATGTCGGCGATTGCGAGGTTCACGATGAACATGCTGGTCGCCGACTGCATCCGCTTGTTCTTGATCACCACGTGGCACACGAGCGCGTTGCCGAACAGCGAGATGACGATGATCACCGAGTAGGCGACGATGAGCAGCGACTGAACGGTGAAGTTTTGCGCCTCGGCTCCGTGGCGCAGCGATCCGGTCATGTTGTCGAACGAGAAGACGAGCGTGCTGTTCACGAAGGCTCGAGGCGACTCGTTGAACATCATCATGCCGATGTCGAGTGGCGCTTTGGCGCTCCTGTTGGCGCGCGCCGTCGTGAAGTCCACTCTCTGAAGCATCTTGAGAAAGTATGGGACGGTGTTCCGCATGTACTCGGTCATCGTTGATCTGATGATGCTGCTGCTGCTGCGTTGAATATAAGCGCGCGTTTTTGTTGTGTGTGCGCGCGTTTTGTAGCTCGTCGCGAATGGGTTTATGTACGGGGTTGTTTTGTATTGATGTGTGTGATGTGTGTACAGCACTTGTTCGCTAACGGCACTTGCCCCAACAGTTTGTTACGGCTGTACGGGGGATCTTTGTCTTTGGTGTCCGCAGGTTGTAGCTAACGCGGCGTGTACTGGGTTGTGTGTGTTGGTGTGTGTGTGTGTGCGTGTATGTAGCTTCTGTAATGCAATATATATACGGTGTGTGTATGTCAGTGCGAGTGTGTGTGTCTGTGCAGTTTGCAGCCAATGCGATGTGTGCGAGGGATCTTAGTGTGTGTGTGTGTGTTTGCGTGTGCATCCGTGTTGGGCTGTGTGTTGTTGTGTGTGTCTATTTTGTGTTTTAGTGCGTGTGTTGGAGTGGTGGTGTGTGTGTGATTGGATTGGGGTGTGTGCAGTGTGTGTGCTGTGTGTGTGTGTGCAAAACAAAGTAACGTCCTTATTCGAAAGCCTCCTGAATTACAAACGTAGTTTTTAAATTATGCTTTTTAAAATTACAGCGATTATATATTCGTCTATGAAAACTAATTTCTTCAGTGAGAATTTTTTTTATGATAATTACAGAACCATATAATTCACAATATCCAATTTAATTTTCAGTGAAAGTAAAACATTCTACTTCATATTTGCCGCACACGGCATAATTGTTGGTAATCTGTTTCGCGATGTAAGCAAACAATCCGTGTATATGTTACACAACATTACAAAACACTGACATTTACACTTTTACACTTATTCCCGCCAGCAAGCCTACACTGCGAACGGGAATTAAAAAGCCGCTGCTGCTGATGATCATTCAGCCGCTACTGCTGATGAAGGTTATTCTTTTTAAAACTCTAAAGCACCCCGTAGCAGGCCATTTAAACGGAGCATCCGCCCGTTATAACGCTGCTCTAGGACACGCTGGCGAGCGTGAGTGGAGGCTCGGGAAGCATTGCCCTGACATTTAAATACAAGAGATTCTGGCTGGGGAAGGGGGGGGGGTGTAAATGCACAGGAATAAGCACGAGGAGGAGGAGGAGGGGGGGGTCTCACTGAGCAGGACAGAATGTCATTGGACAGAGATGAGCATGAGCAGCAGCAGCGAGTGTGCCCAAACATCGGCACCCACACAATCCGTCCGATCTCCCCCCGCCTTAGTCGCCGCATCTCTCGCCAGGGTCACATCCTGCCCAGTACTTAAAGCGGCGGTCGGTGGCTTTGTGCGGCGTGTTTGTCGTTGTCGTCTCTCTCTCTCCACCCTTCTCTCTTAATTTTATTTTTTTACTTCTTAATTCTTATATTTTTATTTCTTATGTTTATGTTTTTTTCTCTCTTTTTTTTACTTTCTTTTGTCATTAATTGTTATTTTTTAATTTCTTATGTTTATATTTTTTTCTCTCTTTTTTTCTTTCCTCTTCTTTTTTTTGTCACTTCTCTGTCTCGCTGCGTCTTTGCTCTCCGTGCGGCTGTTATCTCGAGCGATCGTGCTCGCAGCGCAGCGCAACGCAACGCCGTGTTGCCATTTGTTCGGTCTCGCTGATGTTTTCGGGGTTGTTGTCGTTGTTGCTGCTGCTGTTGTTGTTGCTGGTTCTGCAATAGACTGCTTGCGTGTCTCTCTCTCTCTCTCTGTACAATAACCGCAGATGTGTCTATTACGGTGGCGTGTCCCCTGTACTGCCGTCCCGTCCTGCAGCGTGTACGTTGAACTTCCTTTGCACCGCACGTTGCCAACCGTGCCGATCGGAAGGTGCGGGGGCAGGACCACAGAGCTAAACACAACGTGGCTGACACCGGAGTTCGTCTCTCATCGGCGGATACGTTGCGCGTGGTGGGGTAAAGTGTGGGTAAGGGGCCGTCCATAAATGACGTCACGCACCTAAGGGGGGGGGGGGGGTCAGACATTTGGGACGATGTGTGACGAGGTGGGGGGGGGGGGTGTTGAGAAATGTGACGTCACATCAAAATGCGCAACTTTAAATCAATATAGACAACACGTTCTACTTAATTAAATATTCTCCTACAACATCAGAGTGCAGCGCCACATTAAATACGCACTACAATGACAATAGTTTAAAGCGATTTGAAGCATGTTTATTGGGGGGGGGGGGGGGGCAGAGCTTTGTCAAGTCATATTTGAGAGGGAGGTTCTGACTTTTTGTGACGCCGTGTGACGAAGGGGGGGAGGGGGGGGGGGTCAAAAATCGTCCAAAATCGCGTGACGTCATTTATGGACGGCCCCTAACGCCCGCCGAAGAATCAGTTCTGAAGAATCAGTTCTGATTCTTCGGCCGTTGCCGATCATTGCTACAACTCAGTGGGCTCTCATGAAATTGTCTTTTCCGAGACCAACGTTCTCTGCAAAGCTCCTGGCTACCATCAAAGGTTTGTACACGAAGCCATACAAATATACAAACACAGACATAATTTCAACCGTGATGATGGCTACAAACTTAGTAATCATTGGAAAGATGTTATTAACCACGCAAAAAAGACTTAATTACACTTTTTTGACCATCTTATCTGACACCCACTAGTTTACGTTACTTTACCGAGTGTTAACATCCCCAGTGTTTAACAGTAATCTCTTCATTGTTCAGCCAGCATTGGTATAAACATACGCATTTTATTTTATTTTCTATCATGTGTATCAGACCTCCCCCCTCTCTGTCCAATGCGTTGGCGTGGGCAGCAGTGTGTCGCTTGCGCACAATAGCTTCCACGCCGTCGCCCACCCTTTTTTTGGCCCCTCTCTCCCGATACTTTCCATTCATTGGCTACCACATTCTGATGAGCCCCCCCCCCCCTCTCCTCCCCCCTAAACTCGCTTTTAAGGGATTACATCTTGAATCATTGCCTCACTTGATGCAGCTGATCTGGCTGTGACTGTCCCACCTGATGACGGAGACTTGTGTTGCCTCCGAAACGTCGTGATCTTTATTTTATTTTATTATTTTTTATTAATTTTGATGTTTTACCTACGTGACTTTAACATCTCCTAACATCTCCTAGCCACCGTGATGATGATGATGAGAGAGACACGCAAACTCCAAATATACAGCAGCAGGCGTCAGGGTCGGGATCGAACCCACGACCTCCTGTAGACCAGGCGAGGTAGTTAACATCTCCTGGCCTCACTTGTGGGGGGTGGTCGCAGTCCCCAAACCCTCCCCGCGTCCAACTTCATCACCCACCCATCGGTCTCTCCGCCCACCCCCTCGCGACCTCTCACCCCACTGAGATATAATAAACATTACATTCCACAATTCCACGGCCCCTCGCATCAAAGGGGACGCGATTTTCTTCGTACGTACGCACGTAAAGAAGTATGTACACTCCGCCTCCGTGGTCCACAATCCAGTGGATATCTGAGCGAGTCTCAAGCGTGGATGGTAATAAAAAAAGGAGTGTCGGGCAGAGGTCGCAACCGGGTACCTGATACCCGTACCCTACTCGATACCCGGCTACCCGTACCCGGCCGGGTACCCGTTTGCGACCCTGGTGCGGCCGGGTACGGGTACGGGTAGGCCGTGAGTCGCTGGTGTCACTCATTTCGGGTAGGGTACGGGTAGGGAACAGGTACCCGTACCCGGCCGGGTACCCATTTGCGACCCTGGTGCGGCCGGGTATGGGTAAGCAATCAAAACCTGTTTGCGACCTCTGGCGAGGGGGGTGGGGGGGGGGTACCCCACGCTTCGCCTCACCTGCCCATCGACTCTTTTGCTCCCCACTCTTGTGCTGCTGGGTCACGGGTCAGAAATCTGCGGCGCTGAACCTCTTTGGTGACTAGATTTGAAGTTGTCTTGTTGTTGTTTGACTTGCATCCCACTGGGATTTTTGCACATTTTTGTGTACGGTGCTTTTTCTGTAATATTTTACTGCCTTTTCTTGGATTTTCTGTTTGCACTCAGTCACATATTCACTTTAAGATGTTTTTTGTTCATGTTTTAGTGGTTTTTGTTGTTGCGGTTGCACTCGATTCAAGAGCCGAATGGCTCACAGGGCTATACCTAATAAATGAACTTGAAAACTTGAAATGAAGCTTTCGTGACTGCAATGATCCATACTCTCAGGTTTTTTCGGTAAAGTCACGTAGGTAAAAAATTAAATTAAAATTAATTAAAATAATAATAGAAATAAAATAATAAATCACGACGTTTCGGAGGCAACACAAGTCCCCGTCATCAGGCGGGACCGTCACAGCTAGACTTGATACAGTAAGTAAAACATTAAAATTAATAAAAGTAATGTTTAACCTACGTGACTTTACCGAAAAAACCTAAGAATATGAATCCTTGCAGTCACGAAAGCTTCAAATCTAGAATTGATACAGTAAATCTAGATGTGACCCCCGTTGGTGACGTTCATTTATCGATGACCACCTCTGTCTGTCTCGTACTCGCATTGCATGGCGGCCCTCTTGAAATATTGAGTTTTTTTGTTTGTTATATATTTACCGATGTTTTTGTTTGTTTGTTTTTAACATAGCTCGCATTGTGCTTTTGGATGCCGACCCCTGTGCTGGCTAAACACAGACGAGCCGAGAGGAGATTTAATGCATTTGTAGTGCCACTCGATACAGCACTCTTCAATAGTAGTAGGAGACTTTATTCCTTCCAGCACAAGACACATGCAGGTTTGCAAATATTCACTTAACTCCAAGCGTCCCGAACTCCCTCGCTTCCCCCAAACTTTGTGTATATCCCTCACACCCCCTTTCCCGAAGGTTGCCTTGACCATCCACTTGGTTAAGTACCAATCCAGAGGGCTTTGTTCGACTTCCTAACTGTCCGTGTCACGCACGCCGTGTCCAGAACGTCGGGTGGGTAATTTTGGGCTGCCATCTTCTTGGTTCTTTCGGTAAAGTCACGTAGAAGGAAGATAATACAATAATAAAACATAATAAGATAAAATTATTT